CCCTGGTGTTAATGTTTCCAGACAAAGGATTTTTCACATGAATGCGAGGCCTGGAATGTATAAGAATTATTATTCAAATTTCATCATTTATTTAAAGTGTCTATTCTGCCATGAAATTGCATTAATTAGCATAGTTTAACATAATGAATATAGTTGTAACATTGCAATTTGTTTACATCACTTAACCAACATACTTAGTTATATGCACTGTTGAAGATGTTCTATACACAGTTCACCGCTTCAAAATGTGAACAGTATACATGCAGATGGTAAACTTAATGTGCAAGTAAAATTACATACTTAGGAATGATTTTGACATTAAAAAACAAAGACACTCATCACTGCTGTACGCATGCATTTGTGTAACAAACTAACAATTATTATATACTTAAAATTAGTGAACAAAATTTAAGGCGCCTTGGATTATGTGTGCAAGACTGAATCAAAGAAATTACGCTTGACTTGTCGACTTCCACTTCCTTTACAGGTACAAGCTTCTTCCAAACCGCCAGGGAGGTGTAAGTGGCTTTGGTGTGCCCCCTGCCAGTCGCAGGCCACGTGACCAGGACAACGGTGGAGGAGGTGGCGGTTGGGGAGGCTGGGGCAGAGGACAGCGCCTTGGCAACGAATGAATGTTAAGACAAATGTCTTTGTAGATCTCGATAATACGTGTACATGGTCACTATGTCTAGGTTGACATGCATGTGTCTTTAAAAAGATTGCTACGTCGTATGGTTTGGTATAGTTCGAAGAGCAGTCAAGCTTTTAATCTAATGAATGTATCTTTCGTTTAGATGAGAAATTGTCAAACATGAAGTTCTGATCAAATTATATCAAAAACACGACGTGCACCAAGAATATATGTGACACCACTTTGCAGACTTCAGGTGTAATATAAGTAAATAAAGTTCTTTAAACTTTTCTTGTTTTCGTGGTGTAATTTTTCCGGGTTTTGGTATTGGAAGTTGTTCCTCTGTGATAATGGAATTTTACAAGTGGCATTTATAACATTGTCAACACCAGTGTTCGAAAGGAGACAGCGAGCTGAGTAA